CAATTTATATAATATAAATTTAAAAAATTATATACAACTGTTAATTATACTTTTAAAAAAAATCATTATCACTAAATTGTTTCTTTATTTAAGCATTTCGCTAATATAAAATTGCTTGTTAAGAAGTTTTGATGTAATATATTTCACTTGAGGTATAATTCAAAATATTTTTCATTCAGTACCTTTTTAAAATGTTTTTTGAAATAGTCGTGATCAAATCGTCAAAGCAAAATATGATTTGCCTGGTCATATAACGATGTACAATCGCACATCTTCCTGTGAAAGACTGATTATAGCATCTTATTTTTGTTCAGGTTACTTTTGCCAAACAACTAAAAACTACTTTTATTTAATATTGTTGGCTGGGTGGTTGAGGTATTAAAAAATTTCACTTTTTGAAGTATTACTAAGACCTTTAATCCATAATCTGATAAAAGAAATTTTTGCCACTGCTTTTAATGCTTGAGGATAAGGTAATTTTGAATTGATAATTGATTTATGATTATAACTTATTTGAAACTCTATTTGATTTTGATATTCCATATTGACCAATCTTGAGTAAAATGATTTTATATTTTGTTATCTTTAATTTTTGTTAAATAGCAAAAACTCATAAGCTTTTTACCTTTGTTTGATTTTTTATCTGATAAATTAATTTATAATGAATGTTTAGTTCTGACATGTTTGTTAATGTCTAGTTATATTCTTTACAACCTTTACTATTTACATCTTTCACTCTTATGTCACACCATTTGCTTCTTTCACTATTGTTGCATCATTTACATCTTCCATTCTTATGTTACATCATTTACACCTACTCTATGGATCACTCTTTACATCTTACATCTTTATATTATGTCTTGAACTCCTAGGTTACACTTTTTCCATCTTTTCCACATTTATATTACACCATTAACATTTTCTTTATGTTGCCCCACACAGTGGGCTAAACAGTAGACATAGCTCAAAAATCACTGTTACCAAAATAAATTTAAGTTAGTTGTTATTGAAAGCCAAATAAATTTCCAGTTCATTAAAAAAAAATAATTTAAAAGCATAATTTGTTCAGGAAATATACAAGTTTGAATAACGAAAATTTGTTGCAAAAAATATGTAATAGGTATAAATGATACATAAAAGTCACTTTTGGCTTTATATAAGAAAAAAATGTCACTATATAAGCAGTGCTAATGTAGTAATTGTATGTAGAAACAATCTTAGACTGCAGTTTATGGAAATGTGAATGTTAACATCATAGATTATAGCATAATTTTTTTTTTACATGTTATACCTTATAAAAGTGTTTTTTAACTAATTTTTTATCAGAAAAAATAATTTATCTTAAAAAGTGCTAAGTTGGCACTATTAAACCCATATATTTTTAAACTCCTATAACAAAGAGGAATAAGATGCTTTTTAACTAAATTGTGCCAACTTAGCACTTGAAAAAAATAAGTAAAAGAATGATTCTACCCCTATAGTTTAACTTTTTATAAAATCTATTAAAAAATGTTAATGCAAATATTTTACATTATTTTGTACATATTTTCATAAAGGGAAGATGCGCTCAGTAAAAGTGTATATCTAGAAATTAAAAAAAGGATTAAGACCAATATTTGACCTACATCCCTCCCTCCTCCCTAGCCTTCCTTTCTATTGAACTTTTTTTTTGACCAAATTCAATCTAGTTAGTACAACCATTAACAAAATAAAATATTGCAGCATTGAAATCTGTTTTAAAATGAATTTAAAATTGCAAGAGTTAATATCAAAACTGAGGGCTTTGTGGTGTATTTAGTAATTATATAATATTTTTACTTTTCATGTAATCTTGTTTATTTTTTGAATTATATTATTTTAAGATTAAATTTTTTTGTTTAAATAGTTATTAGACAAATAAATCAACAAAAATGTTTATATCTTTAGTTTAATAACAATGAAGCTCACTGAATTTGAATTATTTGAAATTTTCATTGCTGAGGAAAATAAACAACCGTAAACTATTTCTGCAAATATAATAGGTTGTATACTGGTAATTGTTAAGGTACTTGGCTCCGATGAATTGACATTTGCACAAAAAACAATAGTTCAGAACAGCTGGCAAAGATCTGCATCTGAAGAAAAACCAACTTAAAAAAATGGGCGATGCTGGCATATATTTCAAGGCTAGTAAAGAAATCTTGCTTTAAAAGTATATTAAAGAATAACTCTTTCAACAAGTTTCCAATAGAAACAATGTCAATTTAAACAGTTTGTGCACTTGGTAGGGATTCATATAAAAACTAGAAAAAAACTTTTCCTGTTTTAATATATTGCCTAGTTGGAAACATCTCAGAAGAAAACAATCTGAAGTAACACAAATTATTATGAATTATCTTGAACTTTATTCTTGTTTTTATTTCAGCCTATTTCAGGCTATTAAACTGACGATGCAAAGGATATTGGTGAACATTTTTTTAGAATAATAAACATTGAAAATATACAAATGAAAATAAAGTTTGGATTTGATGGTAGTGAAAGCCATGCATCATTTAATTAAAAAGATAATTTAACACTAGCAATATCATACTGACAATGTTTTGTCCATTTTTACTTGAAACAGTAGCAGGTTTCTTAATATAGTTGCAAAAGTCACAAAATGCCCCACTGAGTCACAAAGTGGTGAGTCTTTGGAAAAAAATGAAGAGAAACTCTTTAATCATTGTCTGTCTAATTCTGACATAGAAGAGTTAAAAAATAAATGTTTCTTTATGTATAAAGAGGGAAAACAATTTAATGTAAATGTGATAGCGCAGTCAAATATGATGGTTATGAAAACAGCTGGTCTTTTTTCAGAAGTTGGAGGTGCATATTGTGATCATGTGGACTTGCTCAAAAAATATTGAAAGAATTGAAAATGGTTTTGTAATTAATTATAACTATGAATGAATTATTTAACCAACTTGAACATGAAGACGTTTCTTTACTTTACTTAAAAAAAAACCTATTATATCACAAGGGCTGAACAAACCATCAAAACCAATTCCAATTTGTGGTGTAAAGCCAATACAAGTAAATTGGTATCTTGTAATAGTGTTCATATTATTCTATATTTTTAATATGTGAACATACTTGATATTAAAAATAATTTTATAGGTTCTTCATGCTTTATGGGGTATATTTGACCAGTTCATGAAAACTGTTTTTCATTTGAAAGCTGGTGTTTTTGATTGGTCTGAGTTTTCTTTCAGTGTTTCAAATAGCTTTCTGAAGCAAGCAGAGACTTCATTACAAACAGAGGTATTAAAAAAAACAGGTATAAAGTGGGTCTACCTTAATGAAATTACAAACAGAGGTATTAAAAAAAACAGGTATAAAGTGAACCTTAATGAAATTACAAACAGAAGTATTAAAAAAAACAGGTATAAAGTGAACCTTAATGAAATTACAAACAGAGGTATTAAAAAAAACAGGTATAAAGTGAACCTTAATGAAATTACAAACAGAGGTATTAAAAAAAACAGGTATAAAGTGAACCTTAATGAAATTACAAACAGAGGTATTAAAAAAAACAGGTATAAAGTGAACCTTAATGAAATTAGAAAAAGAGGAACAACAACAACAGGTTACATAGCTAGAGAACTATTGCACAAAAAATCAAACAGGGATTTAATTATTGCACAATTTTTATTTTTTTTTATTTAACGCGTTTCCACCTGTTACAAAAATAAATTTACCCGGACCATGTATCAGTATAACACCATCACGTCACAAACTGATTAGTCATTCTTGAGTGCTAATTTTGAATAATAAGGAAAGTGGTTTGGGAAATCTTTATGATTCAGAGTTAAAAAGGTAATAACATATATTAAGATTGATCCATACAAGATTTTCAAGAAAATTTTTCACTTTTAAAAAGTCTCTCCTTAATTGTCAATTTAACATACACCATTAACTGAATATGGATATCATCTAATCAAAATTTTTTTCACAAGAGATACAAGTCAAAATCATTTTGCAAATTTTGGTATGAATGAGGACATTCTGATAAATATTCTTATAAACAAGTTGTCTCTAATAACATTTTATCTAAAGATGACACATATTTAAAATGTTAACATATGAATTAATTATGTATTTTAGTACTTCTTTTAATAATTTTTATTATTTTTGCCGTTGATGTACATATGTTATCTTTGTATTACAAAGTATACATTCATATTTATAAATATTTATACGTATTTTTGTTATAACCTATAGAAAGAAAATTTTATGAAATTTTCAATATTTTTTTATTCTTTTAAATTATGACCTAAATATCCAGCAGCAAAATTATTTTTTATTTTTTCCAAAATTTACATATAAAAACCTTTCCAAAAAGTCTTTAACCAACTCCATAGAATTTTTGTTCAAAAGTTATGAACCAATGTCTGTGAAAACATTGTGCACCATTTGCATTTCTACTTCTATGTTACACCATTTAAACACAATTATAATAAAAATTTCTAGAGAGATGATAAAGGTTTGTAGTAAGATACAAGCAGTTGTTGGTGTTTTTATTAACTAAAAAAATTAATTACCTAAAAATTATTTATATTAAAGGGTTGATAAATTTTTTCTTTGAGTTTTTTCTTTCAAAAGATAAGACAATATTTATTCATGTTTAAAAATTTAGAATTTATAGTCAATCTTTATATAAAACTCATTTATCTGCATAATATTGAAAAATATTGTTTTAAAACAGTCTGTTAATTCCAATAAAAAGTATTTCTAATAATGATTTTAACTCTTAACTCAAAGACTTAACTCTGATCTAGATTAGTTAATATATAACTCTCTTTTTTTTTTAATGTTAACTAACCTATTAGTTACTGACCTAGACCCTGTCCTTTACTAAGACCTTACTTTATCAAACCTGTTACCATCACCTTCTAATGTCAATTTATAGCTTTGGCCAGTTACTAGTACATAAATATAATATACCTTTTTTAAAATATTATTTTCGCATTTTATTTATTTAGGAAATGTTAAAAGATTTTTTGGATAAAAGAGAAAATGGTGAACTACTTGCTTTCAAAAGAAAAAATTTGTTTTTAAAACTGTTGCAACATGTAAGTTTCTATTTTTTAAATTAATTATTATATACAGTTAAGTTAAATATATATTTTTGAACACTAGGTTAAACTTACTCAAAACGATGATGAAAAAGTCAGATTTGGTGATGTTATTTGTTTACACAATGTTTTTATTAAAGAAAATCTTTCAATTAGCATGTCTGAAAGTCAGCTTCAAGATTCTGATATAGTTAACTGTAGTGTTTCTGTATCACCAATCTTGCAACCATGCTTTAGAAATGCTTTTGTTGTAACAAGGTAATTTTCAATATTTTATCATTATAAATGTAATTTTTATTCAACTTGAATGTTATGATTTTGGTAAATATGATAACTTAGTCACATCAAATCATCAATCAAAAATTTTAGTTTAATAAAATGATAATAGTAAAATAATAATTTAAAATAAAAAAAAAATTATAATAAAATAATAAGTCAGAATAAAAAAAAAAGATAAAATAATAAATTATAATAAAGTAAAAAGTCAGAATAAAAAAATAAAAATAATAACTCAAAATAAAAAAAATAATGTCAGAAAAAAATGTCAGAGTAAAAAAGAAATAAAATAAAATAATAAGTCAGAATAGAATAAAAAAAAAAAAAAATAATAAGTCACAATAAAAGAAAAAATAAGATAAAATAATAAGTCAGAATTAAAAAAACAAAATGAAGTAAAATAATGTCAGAATAAAAAAATTAATAATTAAATAAAATGATAAATTAGAATAAAAAAAAAAAAGATAGAATAATAAGTCAAAATAAAATAAAATGTCAGAATGAAAAAATAAATAAAATAATAAATCAGAATAAAAAAAATAGAATAAAATAAAATGATGAATCAGAATAAAAAAAAAAGAAGATAAAAAAAAAAAAGTCAGAATAAAAAATATAAAATAAAATGTCAAAATTAAAAAAAAAAAAAAAATTAAGTCAGAACAAAAATAATAAAATAATAATAATAAGGGATCATCCATAAAGTACATACGCTCGGAGGTGAAGAGGGGGTCTTCAAATGGCGTATATGAGATGGGAGGGTATTGGGTCAATTATAAAAGAAAGGAGATACTAAATTAAAAAAAATATCATAAAATGCTAGATAAATAGGTTAAAAGCATAGGTACTTTTAGGGAGGTGGAGAGTACTCAAAAAAGTTGTTTTGCAAAATGTGAGGTTGGGGGTGGACGAAAAAAAGACGTATGTACTTTATGGGCGACCCCTAAGTCAGAATAAAAAAGATAAAAATAAAATAATAAGTCAGAATAAAAAAAATCCAGAAAGTTAAAAAAGTTACTTTAGCTAAAAACAAAAATAAATCAACACTATCAAGCAAAAAATATAAAAATGTTTCATATATTGTATAGTATGCGATTACATTGTAAATTGTTGGAGCTAATAAAAGACTCAGACTACTTAAAAAAATTACTGTACCTAATGTACGATCATACATAACATGTATGGTTGTACATAAGGTACAGTAATTTTTAATTGTGTGATCTGTACATAAGGTATACTAACTTTTAGTGGCTTTTTTATTTAAGATTCCATCACTCTGTTTAGGATTTAGAAAGCTTCTTTTAGATATAAATGATATGAACATCATGAACATGTTGGTTCTTATACAAGTATTAGTCAATATAATAACCATATCTTTTTTTAAATTAAAATATAAAGTTAAACTCACTAAGTGGCAAGATCTGTTTTCAACCCTTTTAGAACTTCCCTAAAGTAACTTATTTTAAATGTTATACAAATCTCTAAAAGTTTAGATATCATTAAACAGTCATCGTTAGACAGTTGAACTGGAATAATTAGAATATAAGACCTGTTTGTTATGGATATCAAGAGAAGTGGAGGTCACTAGAATCAATATATTGAATAAGAGTTCTTGTGATAAAAAAAAATGAAAGTAATGGTTCAATTAGCATTAAGATTTATATACTAGTTAATAAAAACCACAAATTTGGCAATACTTTACTTATCTACCAATTTTTTTAATGTTTTGATGACTTTTTTTGGTGACTGAATACTCTTTTGTATTTACAGTTTTGGAAAATTATTAAGTAATATAATTGAAAAAGTAATGGAGTAAAGCAGTACAAGATTTCAACATACAGCAAATATCAGAAAAGTATGCCCTGCTATTAGAGTTAGTGAATGAGCTGATAATATTCATTATCACTGAGTTTGTCACTATAATCATCATATAAATGACAAAAATAATAAAACTACTAGACATCAGTGAAATGTATAATAAGATTATATACCTTGCCAAACTAAATTTTACTATTTTTGTTTGCTTAAAACTTAAATTAAAAAGCAATCGAATTTTTTTTATATAAGGCACCTTTTATTTTTGATGGAACTAAATAAAGAATTAAGTTTAATTTTTTAGCTATGATAGAGTCAATAAAACTGGAGATTTGTTATGTTATGGTCAAAGTTTTGTTTTAAGTGCACTTCCAAATCAACTTCCAAATATTGAAAATGTAAGTATTTATCATATTACTTAATCAAACATAAAAAGATAATAGAATATGTCACTCATATGTTATATATATATAATAATATTAAATACGGTGAACACATCTGAGTTATTAGCTCATAAGTAGAAAATCTATGGTCGAGGGGACCACTATTGTCAAGAAGGCTACTTTTTTTTTCAACCCTCTCTCAACACTTTATTTCTGAAACACAAACCTTGAAAAAACAATGTTGTTGCACTGTGAAACAAGTTGGGATTAATTACTTCATTCTATAGAGCTACAAAAAAGCATTTTATAATTGTAAATGATGCCTTTTTTTTAGGTTACTGAATGTCAGTTTATTTCCATTTGTTTGATCATGAAATTCAAAAAAGTATAAATTTTACAAAATCAGGTTTGTTGTCACTCATATAATTAAAAATTAGTGATTGGAGTAACACTATAATAAAGTAAACAAATAAAAAAAAACAAACAAACAAAATGAACAAACAAAAAAAACAACAGCAAAAATTAACAATAAATACAGTATAAACCAAAGATTTTAAATTTTTTTTAAACCAAAGATTTAAAAAAAATTTTTTCTCTTGTCTTCTTCAGGTTCTCCTGTCTTCTTCAGGTTCTTCTATCTTGTAATTATATACTTAAGTGTATTTTTTATTTAGTATTTTAATATATTTTGTAATTTATTACAAATAAAATAAAAACTATACTATAAAAAAACAGAAGTATACAATTCTAAAGAATTTATTAAGAAATTTTATTATAATGTCAACATTCTATAATTGTGTGAAGTATAATAGTAAGTACAGTTTAGACATTTATGACACACTTGTGTAACCTGGACAGGTTCACCACGATGTCATTTTTTCATTTAAATAGGACATTAGGGCAAAAAAGTTTTTGCAATTTTTTTACAAGCAGATGGTCTTTCTGGAACTAACCTGTTTTGTTAATCAGGTTTAAATATTTCTATTGTAATACTACCATGTGTTTGATTAGCAAGGTCTATGAGCTTCTCTTATCCACAATTAAATGATCTAAAGTACCACTAAATTGATATAGTTTTAAGTTAATAATCAATTTACTTAATAAATAGAATATTTGAAATTTCTATTTGAATGATAAAACTTTTTTAAGCTTCATAGCTTAAATTAAATAATATGATTGTACGTTATTTTGTTTAACTGTTTATTTTTGTTTCTTTTTTTGAGAATCTTATTGTGAAATTTAAAACTATATTTATTTATGGGTTAAATCATATTTTACCTTTAGCTCAAGTTAACAAGTAATCCAGTGACATTTATGAAACACTCCAAAAAATTTCCATATCAAGAGGTTTCCATGGCATCAACTTCTACTTATCTTAACAATTGGTTTTTATTTATTTTTTATTGAAAAAGTTTTCATTTAATTTTGTGTACAATTTTTATTATACTTTTGTAAATATTTTTTAATGATTAATAACAAAAACAAAAATAAACTTATTTTTGTTTTTATTATAAATGATATTTATATTATCAACTTGAAATAAAGATACATATTTAATCTTTGGTATATTTATAAAACCAAATAATATATATTTTTTTATAATAAAAGATAAACTAAGAAATTATTTGGTTCACTTAACACTATATTAATACTGTACTAATTAATAAAAAAAGTTTTAAATATCTTTGAAATGAGAAAAATTGTGCATTTTACAAATCTTATTAAAGTCTTTCTAGAAAATCAATTTTGTTGAAAAACAAATGTAGTTTTTTAATAATATTTTATTGATAAATGCTTCTTATAATTATATATATTCATATTTCCTAATATTCTTGGTTTTGTATTAAATATAATATGTGAATTGCATATAAATTTTTTTAGGCAAGTTTTACATCATGATCCTCAAATGAGATTAGAAACAGAGGGATTTCCCATAAAGGTAACATTTAAATGTTTGTATAAAAAATATAAAAGATAGTAAATAAAACATTTTCCTTGGAAAATGTCTAAAAGATTGGTCAGGCATGAAACGTTGTGTAGAATTACTTTTTTAAGTTTTTATATATCATAATATATCATATATATGTGTGTGTGTGTGTGTGTGTGTGTGTGTGTGTGTGTGTGTGTGTGTGTGTGTGTGTGTGTGTGTGTGTGTATAAGATTTTCATAGTTTCCTCAGCCTAGGTTTAGCTTTATAGAAAATAGATAAACTTTGGTTTGAAAATAACTAAAAAAAACAATGGTTCTACTTTTTGTAAAAGGTCACCTCTAATATTCCTTGATTAATTTCTGGGTCCCATATATCATTAAAAAATTTTTAGATTATGTTTTAGCAGATAGAGCAAGAGATCATAGGTTGCAGTAGTAAAAGAAAAACATTACAATGAGATAGAGGCTCAAAATTGGCAGTTAGAGTAGGTTCAATTATATTTACAATGTAATCTAAAAAAAGAAAGAGCATCATTAGAAGAATCACTTAAGTATAATAATAGTATTCTATACAAGGACAATAAAAACTTGGTAAAGGTAGGAAATAAAATCAGGAATAAGAAAATGGCAAGCACAATAAAAAGAGGCAACTTTAACAGATGCTAACATTGCCTGTCAATGCTTTGCAATCAATTGTATTTATGGTTTCCATTGAAAACCCATAATACAATCCATTGCAAATTTATTAAACTAATAAAATTTAGTAATAAAAGCAAATTTGAGAAGTCATAAAGCAGAGGACTCAGTAAGAGTGATTTCATTAGAATATAGGAATATCAAAATTATTGTAGATCAAAAGAATATCAACATTGATAATGATGTGATAATGGTTGTAAACAACTGAGCTTTTTTTGGGTTACTGATAATTTTTTTTTGGGTTACTGATAACCACTGCTAGTCACAGAAGAGAGATTTCATTAATCATTAGCTACCTTTTAAGTGATTAAAAATTGATTATTTTTTATCAAGATTGGAGGCAAGCTTACAAACCAAGAATTAGTGAATATCTGCTTATGAATTGAATTTTAACTTATATAGACTAATTTTTAGCTTTGATTTTTTACTTTGTCTGTAATAATTAAATTGCTTTATTACATTATTATATATGTATGTATAAATTATTTTTATGTAGTATAAGATTTTCATATCTTAACTCAAATATATATTTCTTTAGGTTAATGAAAAGATTGTTATAAAGCACTGTTACACAAATAGAGCTTTGGCTGCAGTATCTGATTATACAACAAGGTATTGAAAGTATTTTAGTAATTAAAATCAACCTGATCAATAAAAGTTAGAAAGTTGAATTAAATTTTATATATATTTCATAAAGATAAAGATGGCTAATAAAAAGTTTCAATAATAAAATGTTTTAAATAAAATATTGGGTTGTCAACTAACTTCCCACCATTTCTCTATTTGCATTATTTACTCGTTTTATAAAGTCGAATAACTGTTTAATCAATGATTTAATAACAGCTAAAAACTATTCAATCACTTGAAAATTTTCCATAGAGTGAAGATGCTTCTCTATTTGAAAGTATCCCATTTTGTCAGTGTTAGAGTATCTCATTTTCTCTGCCAGTTATCTCATCCTTTGATGTGATTCTTTGAGTTCAGTCAGGCGGCCTAAATGAGGTGCATCTTTGAGGTTGAAATTTTCATTTTTGAATTTAAAAGCTTTTGCAGCTTTTGAACCTTGATTAAAAGCAAAAGGGAGGAGGTATCATTGACATTCCATTTTGATGATCTGAAAATGAATGTACAGACATAATTAACTCAAAAAAAAAAAAAAGATAAACTAAATACAATTTAAAAATACAATAAATTTAAAAATTGATGGGAACTTAATTGCCAAAATGGTTATTGTATATTTTTAATAAATTATTAAATTTTTTTTATGTTCAAATAAAAATGTAAGTCTTCTCGGCCTTGAGGAGGTGAATTAAAATAAAAAAAAAAAAAAAAAAAAAAGTGGAAATAAACTCTAAAAAAATTGGATTTGTTAAGAAAAAATTAATTTTATTTTATAATAATAATGATTAATGTAAACAGTGGAATTTCTACCAACAGGAAATTTTTACATGTAACCATTTGTTGTGATGTATGATAGACATTTTTTATTTTATTATTCTCATCATAATTCATTTTTTAATGTTGAAAATGCTGATATAAATCAGCATTTTCAACAATAAAAAATAAAAAGAATAAAATTATAAAGAGGGTATTTTTTTAAAGTTCTTTTGTAAATTAAATAAATAATTTGGTCCGATTGGGAAATACATTGATGTTTTATCAGAAACTTACAGTGTTTACTTGTTTTTAAAAGGATAACTTTAGCTTACCATTTTTTATATTTCTGTTACAATACTGTTGTATTTTGTTTTAAGGAAAAAATTAAAAAAACAGTTTGATAGTTTACTTTGGAAAAAATACAAATACAAAAATTATCTAATGGATAATTTTATCATGAAATTCAATGAAAATTTATTTAAGATTAGGATTTTAAAAATATTTTTTAAAGTCAGCATGCAATGGATGTTTTTTTGTAACTTATCTGCAAATGGAATGAAAGTGACTTTCTGATATTTGTTTAGGGTTGTTTATCATTTAGCTATTTAGCTAGCTATGAATTATTTTTAGAACATTTGTTTAGAAAATTTATAAGGGTTCAATTTTTTTTTTTTTTAATAAATTCACTCTAATCAAGGCTGCAAGCAAACAATAATCAAGTTGGAAACAGAAAACAAAGAAGAGAGTTAACTTATGCTTATCGTTATCAAAAAATAATTAAAAATTGTTTTTTCTTTTAAAAATTAAATTTTTAAGTTATAAAAATTAGTTTTTATAAAATTAGTTAAAGTTACAAGTAAGTTTCTATAAAATGTATAGAATTTTTTTAACAGAATTTTTTATTTATAACAGTTTATTGTTTTTAACAGAGTTTATCAGAGGATGTTTAAGATTATTGATAAGTAATTGCCTTTTTATATTTTACATTAAAAAAAAAAGAAGATAATTATTGAAATAGTAAAATGTTCTAGAATATTGGATATTAACCCACTCCTAATTTAAGTAAGAGAACTAAATTCAAGTTAATAAATAATTAATGGGTGATTCATAAGTCTTTGCAAAACTTTGGATTTAAGCTACTATATTAGCTTTATTATAGTAAATATTACTTATTAAATAAAAATAAACTTTGGCTATTGTAAATTAAAAATATTGTATAATGCTTTAAGGGCCATGGTCAGCTATTTTAAAAAGTTTATATTTTACCTTCTCCATATGACTTTGTAACTCATTTTAATCGAATTCTCTCAAAAAAATTTTTATACATCTGATCAAATGGTGCTTTGTTTTTGCATATACTTTCAAACACACATTAATCCAAAAGTTTTTAATTAGGCGGGCTTGAAGAACATTTTGAGGATTATTATGCTCAGGAAAGTTGATCACCTCATTTGCATAATGAGCACTAGCTAAATCTGGCCAAAATACATGCTCATGTTTGTTATACATTGATCTAATAAATTTAGGTTGCATTTATTAATATAGTGCTTAGCATCGGTTAAAATAGATGATTCTTCTATAAATGGTTCAGAGATACCATCTTTAGAGATTGCAATCCAGACTAATACCTTTTTTGTATTTAATATCTTTTAAGACTGAAGAAATTCGGTATATTAACCATCATTACCTGCTATTTTACTGTTGCTTCAGGTAAAATATTTTTTATCATCGGTAATTATTGGTTTTCCAATAAAAGATTTTGTTGCTAATTTTTTTGAGGTTCTGATAATTTTTGCATGTTTTTTTTTTCCTATTACTTAAATTCCTTTTTTTTTAAATATTAACTTTATGAAATATTAAATTTTTTAGCTTCAGTTCTCTGACTTTTTCCATCTTTGTTTTTGAAAGATTTTACAATATTTTAAGATTTTACAGTGATTTTGCAATGTTTTAACTTTGAAAGATTTTACAGTGTTTTAACTTTGCCAGGCTCTAGTTTAACAGGACAGCCACCTCTTGGTAAATCTTCAGTTGTAGAAAAATGTTCATAGTTTTTAATTATCAAATAAATTGTTCTTTTAGGTGTTTTTCATAAAGTGTTTAACAGTCATATTTTAATTATCATTAATAACATTTAAATAGTAATTTACAGTTCTTTTATTGATCCACAGTCCAATTTTCTGTGTGATTAAGATAAAAACTTTTTTTTTATGTAAGAAATAAAGTCTAAAAATTTTTTAAAAATTTAGAATAAATTGCAATTACTTCCAGATATAGACATAAAAATGTCTGCAAAAACTTATGAATCACTTGTTAATATTTATCAATCAAGTGGCGTTAAATGTATTTTTGAATTTTTCAAATACTACAACAATCTTTAATTGAATCCATTAAACCAGTTTAAAAACTAGACAGAAATTATTGATGCCCTGTTGTAAAAAATAATAACAGCCTTCTTGGTTGTAGGGGTTGAGGAGGTGAATATAGTAAAAAAAAAAAAAAGAAGCACCACATTTAATTTGTTTCTTTTTTGTTTGGCTGTAGGCCACCCCTTCGGCCTTATCAAATTAATAAAATTTTATTTTGTGAAAAACAAAAATTTTGCATCTTCCTAAGCAGTACAACAAAAGATAAAGCGAAAGATGTTATTTACAAAAAATATTTTGTATTTTTATTTTGAAGTTTTTGAATTAATTTTAGTCTTAATTTTGGTTAAATGGGTTTTGTGAGATATAGCAAGTTCTCTCTCTTTCTTTTTTTTTTAATCAAATACTCCCAACAATGCTGCAAGCAACCACTATAAAGTAAGAAAATACTGGAAAACAAAGAATAGAGTTAAAGAGCAAGAAAATGGTTGAAAGAAGACTTAAAAAGTTGTAGATTGTATAAGTCAGGAAATTATGAAGATAGAAGAGAGTTTCAAAGAATTAAAGTATAGTGAAAAAAGCTAATCAAATAAATGTTTTTAGAGCATGCAGGGACAGATACAGTAAAAGGATGAGACTTTAGACTTTGTCTAGAAAAGAAAGAGCATCATGAGAAGAACCAGCCTAAATATGAAAACAGTATTTCATTTAGAAATGAGTAAGCAGTTTTTCGAGGTAGAGAATGAAATCAGGTGTAATAAAATGATTTTTAAAGGTAGAGAATGAAAGCACAATAAAGAAAGCAATCTTAGCAGATGCTAACTTTGCAATTGATTGTATATGATTTACATAAGAGGTCAGTAGTGAATAATAGCTCAAGAAGATGTAAAACATAGTGAGAGCCATTCATTAATATAGGAATGTCAACAGTATTATGATAGTTCTTTACTGTAAATAACTGAGTTTTGTGGGAGTTAAAATTCACAAGCCATTGCAGCTCAAATCTGTTACAGAAGTGAGATTAGATTTTAGGGCAGAAGTATAAAGTGAAATATGCAAGTCAATGGGTAATTAAAAGAATACTTAATTAAAACAAACGATTTTAAAAACAACCATTAATAAAAATTATAAAATCAACCAATTTGTACAAAAAATTTTTTTTGCGATTATGTTATTTCATTATAAGAGTCTAGAGTTTGGGAGGCACTTTTTGGTGCAATAAATCTCAGTGTTTTTTACATATTAATTTAGTATGCATGTTTAATTAAGTCTAATCTTACCTTTTGAATTTTTGTACTGATACCATTTACTATTTGTTTCAATAGTATTAGCAGTTTGTAATTTTGACTGGTCCATTTTATAAACTCTTTTGACATAACAATCAACACCAATTTCAAGTGAATGCAGAATGTGCAATAAATCTTTACATTATGATGATGTTTACAATATATTACTAACTTATTTGCATTGAATCCATTTTGTTTTCAATGCAAATAAGACAACCTGATTGATAACATGTATTAAATGCGGTAGTGGTGTAGTGGTAGAGCGCTCGCTTCATAAACGAGTGGTTCGGAGTTCGATCCCCACCATGTCCCTGGTAGTACTGCGCTCAACTCATTTCTCCGCGCAGCGGCCTTGTTCGTCAAGGTTCGTGTTTCGGAGTTATAGAGTTGAGAGAGGGTTATAGCCACAAATAAGTAGCCTCCTCGTCTGTAGTGGCCTTCTCGGCCTTGAGGAAAAAAATTGTTGAGCATTTTAGTTGTTAATTACCTGGTAATTTAAATATTGGGTCAAGCATTTTTATCATCTTTCCAAATGATGGCTGATATAGCTATGCCAGTGAGTAGCTGGTATTGACAATCATTT